CCGGGCTGGGGATTCCAACCCACCACCTTAGGTGTATGTGGCTGGCGCCTTAGCCGGTTGAGCTATAGGCGCCGAGCCCAGGATTTCATTCTTTTCTATGGATGAATGGTATTCCATTGAATATTTGTACCAAGTTTTCTTTATCCATTCATCTGTTCTTATGCACCAAGGTTGATTCTGTATCTTGGCTATTGTAATAGCCACCACATAGAGGTACACATTTCTCCTCAGTAACATAGAGGTACACATGTCTCTTCAATGTACTGATTTTCCTTCCTTTGGATAAATGCCCAGAAATGATATTTGCTAAATCATATGGTAATTCTAATTGTAGTTTTTGGAAGAATCTCTGTATTGTTCCCTATAGTGGCTGAACTAGTTTACATTATTCCCACCAATAGTGTATAACAGTTCTCTTTTCTTTTCTTTCTTTCTGTATTTTAGAGACAGGGTCTTATGCTATTGCCTAGGCTGGCATGCAGTGGTGGGAATCATAGCTCACTGTAGCCTCAAATGTCTGGGGTCTAGTGTTCCTCCTGCCTCAGCCTCCTCTGTAACTGAGACTACAGGTGTGTGCCACCACACCTGTTTAATTTTTCAGGTGTGTGCCACCACACCTGTTTAATTTTTAAAATTTCCTGTAGAGATGGGGGCTTCCTATGTTGTCCAGGCTAGTCTTCCCCCAAGGCCAATTTTTAACTCCTGGACTCAAGCAATCCTCTTGCCTTGGCCTCATAAGCGCTGGTATTACAGATATGTGCCACCCTGCCTGGCCCTAGAGCTCACTCTTCTCTGCATTCTCACCAATATTTGTTATTTTTTGTCTTTTTGATAATAGTCATCCTGAGATGAGATGATATCTCATTTTGGTTTTGAAAAAATATGAAAAGCTTCATGAATTTGCGTGTTATCTTTGTGCAGAGGCCATGCTAATTTTCTCTGTATTATTTCAGTTTTAGTGTATGTGCTGCCCAAGAGAACACTAATTTTTACTAAATATATGTACAGTTCACATTTATTTGAATGTTCAATATTAGAAGTGTTTTGTCTTATAGCAGTTATAGTGGCTCATGCCTGTAATCCTAGCACTTTGTGAGACTAAGGCAGAAGGATGGCTTGAGGCCAGGAGTTTGTGTCCAGCCTGGGCAACAGCAAGACCCCATTTCTACAAAAAACACAAAAAAATTAGCTAGGTGTGATAGTGAGTTCCTGTAGTCCTAGCTACTAAGCAGGCTGAGGCAGGAGGATCACTTGAGACCAAGAGTTTGGGGTGGTGCCTATGGCTCAAGGAGTAGGGTACTGGCCCCATATACTGGAGGTGGTGAGTTCAAACCTGGCCTCAGCCAAAAACTGAAAAAAAAAAAAAGAACCTAAACAAACAAGACTGAGACTAGGAGTTTGAGGTTGCAGTGAGCTATGATGATGCTATTGCACTCTAACCAGAGACCTTATCACAAAAAAAAAAAAAAAAAAAGAAAGAAAGAAAAAGAGTTTTGCCTTTATTCAGAAGTTTGGTGATAGTGTAACCATAAATATGCTGCAGGAACTTAACTCTAATTTATATCAATTACTCTATGGTAAAATTGGTTTCATTATTTTGCCTAAAGTTGCAGCCTCTAAGAACCTATCAATGACATATATTGTACATATTTATCCTATGCCCCATCTACTCTACTTCTAGTCTATCTCTAGCTTCAGCTGCAGCTGTGGTGGACAGTTATAACTCTTCGTATGCTGTTAGTATTTGCTAGCACAGAGCAGTCACCCTGGATTGGAGATTATATTAGTTTCCTATGGCGGCTGTAATAAATTATCGCACATGCAGCACCTTAAAACGTACACATTTATTATTTTACAGTTCTGTAGTTCACAAGTCAGAATAGCTAAGATTATATAAAATGTCAATAGGTTAAGATTAAGGCTCATCAGGAATCTGCTCCTTTCTGGAGGGCCTCCCAGGGAGAATTTTCCATCTTCTTGAGTCTGCTTTCAAAATCTTTAATTTCAAGAGAGAGTGAAATTCATGGGAAGAGTCTCTATCTCTAAATCCTTAACTAAAAAACAAAACAAAACAAAACAAAAATACCTTAATTTAATCACATATGCAAAGGTTTTTTTTTTTTTTGTCTTCGAAGGTATACATAGCTCCTGGGGATTAGAATCTGGACAATGACCCCGTTTTTCTGACTACCACAGAGACCATGCAAACACAGTCCAGATTAGAATCAGTTTATTAGGTTACGACCTAGGGATAAGTTACCTGATCTCTCTATGTTTCAGTTTTCTCATACATATGATGAAAAGGAGGATTAACAGTATTATCTATATTAAAAGATTGTTAAAGATTTAACGGAGATAATGTCTGTAAAGTGCTCAGAACAGTACCTAGCACTTTAAGCACAATACGATTATTTATTAAATATATTTTAACAGGCTTGGCGCCTGTAGCTCAGTGACTAGGGTACCAGCCACATACACCAGAGCTGGTGGGTTTGAATCCAGCCCAGGGCCTGCCACACAATAATGACAACTACAACCAAAAAATAGCCGGGCCTTGTGGTGAGGTGCCTGTAGTCCCAGCTACTTGGGAGGCTGAGGCAAGAATCGCTGTGATGAGCTGCGATGCCACGGCACTCTACCCAGGGCGACAGCTTGAGGCTCTGTCTCAAACAAACAAACAAACAAACATCTTAACAACATATTGATTCCTACTCGATGTCAAGCTCTATTCTAGGCACTAGGGATGTGGATAGGAATATGACTTGCTTTCAAAGAACTCAAGGAGTAAGTACATACTACATACCATAAAAAGATGGCAGTACTATAGGATTATAGCATTGTTAAGGCTCCAAGAGACTTCAAAAATATTGGTGAAATGAATAAATGAACATGACATTCAAGTTTGGTTTTGTAGAATAAGTGGTGGCCCGTGAGATAAGGAGAGAATAGCTCAGAGACATGAAGAAATGTGTTAAAAGGTTAAGTAGTATTTCAGTGTGGCTGGAGCAAAAGATATATGGTGTGCAATGAAGCTAAAAAAGCTAGTGTAAACATACAGGTCGTGAAGTGCCAAGTTAAGGAGTATGGACTTTATCTGCAAAGCAATAAAGTCCTTTCAGAGTGTGTTTTTTTTTTTTTTTTTTTTTTGAGACAGAGTCTCACTTTGTTGCCCTCAGTAGAGTGCTGTAGCATCATATCTCACAGCAACCTCAAACTCTTGGGCTCAAGTGATTCTCTTGCCTCAGCCTTTCTAGATAGCTGGGACTACAGGTGCCCACTATAACGCCCAGCAATTTGGAATTTCTGAGCTCCGTCAATCACCGGTCTTGTCCTCTCAGTGAGCCACTGCCTCATTTTGGAGTGTTTATTTTTATTTTTTCTTAGAGACAGAGTTTCATTTTATTGCCCTTGGTAAGAGTACTGTGGAGTCACAGCTCACAGCAACCTCCAACTCGTAGGCTTAGGAGATTCTCTTGCCTCAGCCTCCTGAGTAGCTGGGACTACAGGCGCCCACCACAAAGCCTGGCTATTTTTTTGTTGCAGTTTGGCGGGGGCCAGGTTCGAACCCGCCACCCTTGGTAAATGGGGCCGGCGCTCTACCCACTGAGTCACAGGCGCTGCCCCATTTCAGAGTGTTTAAAAGAGGAAGGAAAAAAAATAAAGGATAAATAAACAGGGAAGGACATCATCAGATTTTAAGAGGCTACTCTGGTGACTGGTGAGAAAAATAGATTGGATTTGAACAGACTAATGGTTGTTCAGGTGATGGTAGTGGAGAAAGAGATGGGTAAGAACTTGAGAAATATTTAGGGGAATCTACAAGAGCTGGTGACCAATTTGATGTGGATGTTGCCAGGAAGAATGGCGATCTATGTCTAGGTCTCTAGCTTAGAGGGCTGGGGAATGATGGTCCATTCATTGAGACCAGGAAGGAATATAACAGTAACCTAAGTTTTTGGGGAAATAACCATAGTAATAGCTAATATTCTAAAGGGCTTAATACGTGTTAAGTTGTAGTCATTATTATAGTAAACTGAGGCTTAGAGAACCAAGAACACAGATACTACTTAGTACTGAGACATTATGGCTTAAAAAGTAAAGGTCCTTTTGCTAACATACGTACACCTAAGATCTGAAACCAGGCAATCTGATTCCAGGCCCTTAACCACTAACGCCTTGCCACGTTTGGTCATGATGAATTTGAGATACAGCGGGGTGCGTACGTAGTGCTGTTCGGGAGGTACTGGCAAATACACAATTGAAGCTCAGGGAAAAAGTGTAGGTTGAAAGTAGCCTCCATGGCAGAGCAAAAAGGAAAAGGGAGCCCATTTTCTTCTACGTCAGTTCACGATGGTTCCAACTTCTGTTATCGTTTCTTTGTCCCCCACTCCCCCGCCCTTGCTCCCCCCCCCACAAACAAAATAATAGATGTCTGGCTCTGGGATCACACGAGATCAGATAGTTTTCAATTTAGCCCTTGTTTATGAGCTCACAGTGGCTGTGGCGCTTTGTAACTTGAGAAGGACCCAAACTGAGTGAGTTAGCCTTCTTCATTCCTGACTCATCACCAGCCCTCCCAGAAATCATTCCACAATCTTCCAGGAGGAGTGTCCTGTCAAAACAGCCTGCAATGGGCGGCTCCGGTCCCATATACCGAGGGTGGCGAGTTCGAACCCGGGCCGGTCAAACTGTAACAAAAAAAATAGCCGGGCGTTGTGGTGGGCGCCTGTAGTCCCTGCTACTCAGGAGGCTGAGGCAAGACGCAAGAGAATCGCGTAAAGCCAGGAGTTGGAGACTGCTGTGAGCTGTGACGCCACGGCACTATACCGATGGCAATAAAGTTAGACTGTCTCTACCAAAAAAGAAACAAACAAAAAACCAAACAAACAACAGCCTGCAACCTCAGAGCTACCGCCAAAGAGAAGCGGACGCAATGACGTCACGAAGCAGCCGGTGTTCCCCAGCCCGTGGCGTCACGCGCCGATGACGTCATCCCAGGCGCTAGCTCTCCTCCGGGCCGGGGCTGGTCTGGCTCTCCAAGCTCTGTCCAGCTCTCCCCGCCCCCTCCCACCTGCGGGAGGCGGGGCGGGCAGGGCTCCGCCGGCGCCGCAGCCTCGCGGGGGAGGGGCGGGACGGAGCGGAGGAGGGAGGTGGGGGCCGGCCCCGGCGTACAATAGCTGGGCCGCGGGCGGGGGAGGCGGCCCCGCGGGCGCTGCAGCTGGAGCTGAAGGTGCCGGCTGCACCGTAGACGCCCCCTCACGGCTTCCCCGCACCCTCCCTCCCCTGCGCTCGCCCTTCGCGCCTCCCTCCCAGGCTCTGCCGTCCAGTCCACAGACGCTTACCTCCCAGACTCTTCCTCCCTTTTTCGCAGAGCCCGGCGTTCTCAGGAGCCCCTCGAAGGCGGCCTCCGCTTCGACTTCCCACCTCCTCCCTGGGAGGCCATCTGAGCCGCTCACATCCCCACCCCCTCAGCCCAGCGATCCTTTGCTCGCGTCGCCTAGTTCCCTTCCGCCCCCCTCACTGTCCCGTCGCTCGCAGATGCCGCTCTCCTGAGGGGATCCCCGGCGCGAGCGGCGACAGGCGGGAGTAAGGGAAGCGCTAGCTCGCGCACACTCGGGCGCCCACTCCGGCTGGGCCGCCGCCACTCGGCCGGTGGAGGAGGAGGAGGAGGAGCTGAGCAGAACCGAGCGAGCGCGGAAGGTGAGAGCCGGCCTGGCTCCCGGTGCTCTGGCGTCGCTGGCTGCCCCAGCTAGGGCGCCGGGTGGGCAGGGCCAGGGGTGGGGGCCTGGGCCCATTCATTCCCGGCGGCGGGGCCAGGTGCCCGGGCGGGAGGGGGCGCCAGGTGAGGTGAGGCGGGCGCCGCCCCGCGAGGCTGACGGCCGCGGTCGGGCCAACAAAGGCCCCCAGTGCGCGCACCGGCGCGATCGCCGGGCTTAGGCACAGGGGACCGGGAGAGGGCAGAAACCAAGGAGGTATCGGGCCG